TCCTGGCGAACCTTTGATATATTTTAAGAATATTCCTTGGGAATATTCTTGGAATATCTTATAATATTCTTAGAATATGTAAGGTATATTCTATTAAGAATATTCCAGGAATAGAACCCGAGGAATATTCATAAAATATTCAGGATATTCTTAGTTTATTGTAGGAATATACAATAGGGAAACACCATAGATTATTCTTTAAATACATTTTATGAATATTCTAGGAATATTTGGAATATTCCAAGAATGTGACGAGTAAACGCTATTAGGCATGTATATATTGCATTTTGATGCAAGATTNGAATTATTTGAATACGTTATTATAAGATAATTCAAAATTCCATTGTATAGAATATTCCAAAATATACCGTGGGGATATATTCTAAGAATATACCATATGGTATATTCGATCGACAATATTCTTAGAATATTCAAGGGAGAATAATCCATTTATAGACATTCTATGCACATTCTTTCGGGAATAATCCTGCCATATTCATTCAAGCATATTCTATGAATATTCTAAAGGCATGTATATATTCCAAGAATATTCTATGAATATTTGGAATATATACGTTCGTTTTATGATATACAGGGAATATTCCATGAATATCTGGTGCTGTGTGGGTTCTTGTGAAATTTTCACTAAACATGTGTTTCGCTTTACAAATACACTATCAAGCGTATATTCTTTCTTCAAAATAAACTGTTGGAAAGACAAACTATTACCAATTGCATTTACCATCCATCACTGTAACCAAAGTCCCTCCCTCTTTTAGCCGATGCAGCACTTCCTCCTTGCTTAACACCTTTGGGAGCAACTATCTTAGATAGTCCATGAATTATACTTAAACCTATTTTATCCGTATTTTAAATAATTTCATCTGACAAAAATGTACCGTATATTCCACGTCCTCCTTTTATGTCATTGAAAAATAATCCCACATTAGTGTTGATGAAACTTGTCATTGGGCTTGAGCCTCTGTTATGTGGTCAAATAGTTCTCCTGCAAGCCTGCAGGCATTTTTTCAATACTCACTTTTGCAAATTCATAAACTAGTGATCTAACTCACTATGTGGTTAACCCATATTGCATTCCTGCAATAATTTGCAAATAGCTAATGATGTTTATCTCCATCATTGGAAAATACTTGTTTAAATGCATAATTGACGAAATTCTGGTAACCAATTTTGCCTGTTCAACGTTTATCTACCAGTTTTAGACAGTTTTGCTGCCTCTCGATAAATCGTTGTTTTTTAGATCATCTAAGCTTGAGGACCCAAGTGCTTGCCTAAACGTTTTTATATATAGCGGTTTTCTTCTTATACCTTCTCTACCCCTGAGTGCAACCTGAATGTCTGAAAAATTGGAAAAACTTATGTTGCAACGTGTGATGATGGACTAATTCATAAAACTCAGTACGCAAAAAAAGTTTGTCAATGACTCGCAGAGATACTCTCACTCAATTTGTCACTCAAACAATCAAATTTTCAACACAAAACAACTTTCTCAACCAGTATCACTGATACTAGTTGGCAGCACAGTCAAGTGTATTCAAGGTATTCAACCTGGTCCAAAATACAATATTGTCTAGGTTCAACAGTCTCCCGTATTACTGTTTACTATCTAGGAAACGAGGTTGAAATAAAGATTTTATTGTTACGGAAGAATAGTGTAATAGCCCTAGGTGAACCAGATAATTGTTGAGTTTTTTTGGTGACCCATATTTATATTTGCCAATATTAAACTAGTGAAGATGCGGTCGGAGATCAGTAGAAACTGTTTTAATTCAACCAAAGTGAAGTGTTGAGCTCAAGTACCTACTCGCTTAATGACTATACGCGACACCACTGATGGAACAGAAAGGAAAATTGCGAAGCGGGGTACGCTGCGTGGAAACATTGAAATACAGCATGTAAGAACGAGTTGAACATGCACAAACTCGTTCATCTCATTCAACGCTCAATCGTACTGAGCAAGTTCGAACAAGTATCAATGTACCAGCCATGTCAATATCGTGCATTTCACGTCCGCGGAGTACCTACAGTAGCGGGAGGGAGATAGGGAGGTGAAACGGTCTCAGAAGAGTAGCGAGAGAAGTGGCGGTAGGGACGTCACGTCACGTCACGTCGGCCGGTCGCTAGCCGCGGCTGTATATTTGGGATTTGTTCCTTCCGTACCTGCACTCCGCAAACACGGACAACACGAATGTTGACGGACTATGATATATGATTGCAAAATATTTGTTCGCGCCAAACATCAATAATAATTGAACTTTGCAATTTCAATTTCATTTTTACTGGATATGAACTTGTTTACAACATATACCTATGTGCAATAATGACTACATACGAGCTTAATAGGCTATAACTTTCCAAAATATGACACTTTATCCAGTTCCCTATTACTCATATTTGCTTCGTTGAGTGGTCTGGTAAGATCAAGAAAAACTGATATGGTGTACTTCTCTAATCAAATGACTTACGCCACGGCTCGCTCTAGGGCTATAGCGTGAACGATTTTCTGTTTCCTGAAGCATTGATTCATCGTCTCTTAGAAGTAGTTCTATGCCGTTCAGTCGTGGTCTTCGAGTATGTGTACCAGTTTTCCAAACACGTTGTAATGCTGTTCTGATCCTTATGTGATGCGTCTTCTGACCACAAATTCATTACATTATTGAGTGAATTACCGATAAGTGAGGAACAATCTAAGCCGCGTGAAGTTTGGCATTACAGATCTGCTAAGTGGGAGTATCATCAAGATCATTTTCGAAATTTACCCTGGCTAGACATTTGTTTCAGCTCTAATGATCCATCAACTTGTGCATTTGAAGTCTTGGAAGTTATTCTATCATCCATGGATGCACATATTCCTTTCTCAATGAAACGAACTCCTAACGGCAATTCTTGGTTCAACAAAGAGAAAGCTGACGCCCCCAAAAACCTCGCCTACCGGCAATGGCGCAAAAATTCCCGTGCCGAAAACAGAACTAGGTTTGTGAATGCTCGCAACAGCTGCAAAATTTGAATAAATGCAAGCAAAGAACTTCACAATCAGAGAATTAGGGAATAACTGCTTGCCAATCCCTACGAGTCTAGATCCTTCAAAATTCCACCACATACACAAACGGATGGTTCGATTACAACAGACGTAGAAAAAGCAAATATATCAGCTGAACAAGTTGCGTCCCACTCTTCAGTCGATTTTCTGGGAAAGGCACCACCCACTATTCTCACACTGAAATCCACGATGCCGGAAATTACTTTTCGACAACGTCTAGTCAGGCGAATTTTGAAACAGCTTGATATCAACAAGGCGTCTGGTCCTGATAAAGTGCCAGTTATCGTACTTGAAAGGTGCACCAATCTTCCAAACAACTATAGACCAGTCGCTTTGCTACCAGTGATATCAAAAATCATGGATAAAGCCGTAAACCACCATATCTTCAAATATTTGGACGGCATCAACATCTTGAGCGATCATCAATATTGCTTTCGGAAACAAAGATCAACAGGTGACCTTCTATCGTGTGTCACCCATATTTGGAATCACGCAGCCGAGAAACATGGATAGTCAAAAGCTGTTGTGCTTGATATTTCTCAGTCCTTTGACCGTGTGTGACTTGAGGGTTTGTTGACCAAACTTCGATGATATGGCTTATCTGATATTTTTTTGGAATCGCTTTCCAGGTTCTTGAAAAAACGTTCCCTGCAAGTGGCTGTCGATGGATATGTATCGAATACTTTCACCATCAACGCTGGTGTTCCTGAGGGATCCATATTGTCTCAAACCTTTTTTATTGTATATCAACGATTTATTGGGAAAAACCAAAAAATCCAATTTATTGAATTGCTGACGACGACAGCACACTCTCGTCTCGTTATTCCATTCAGATTTCAATACATCGGCTGCAGATGCAAACTTTCACCGGTAGCAGGAGATTGCATATTTCAATGAGGATCTATAGGTGATTTCGAATTGGTGTAGAAGTAATCAAGATCCATTCAATGCCACGAAAACCCAGGCATCGGTTTCCTCCAAAACGATAAATATCTCCGAACCAGATACAATAATGTGAGAACACACAATTTCTCTTTATTTATTCATTACCCAAACAGGCTATTTCAGCCTAATAACTTGGATAAATAAAGTAAATTACAAATATTTACATAAAAACATTGTCTATATCATACTTACTACCTATTAGTCAATGCCCAGAATTCTAGGAGATGAACCGGATCCAAAATTGTGGGGATGTGGAAAATCAGTCTCAAATACTTGTATTCAATATGTCTCAAACAGTCTCTGCTTCGATAAGTTTGTTGGGGGTCAAAATAGACACCAATATGTCATCGCACAATCGTGACGCTGGAATTGCGAAGGCAGCTTCTCAAAAGCTTAGAACACTGTTCCGAATCAGAAAACTGTACATATCTCAGCAACTTTCGATGCTTAATAAAGCTCAGATCAGACCTTTTGTGGAGTATTGTACTCATGTATGGGGCTTCGCTCCTAAGCATATCCTGAAGCTGCTGGATTCCATAAAAAAAAAAACTATCCTGTAGTGTTCGTGTTCTGTCCTTAAAATATGTTGGATAGAAAAATTATTTGTGTTCATCGCGTAGAAATTCAACGTCACATATTAACGTGCGGAGTGCATAATAATAAAGAGATTAACGTTATTTTAGATTTGAAACACCAGAATTTTATGTAATGAAAACTGAAAGATACTATATTAAAAACTATTTTTGAATTACATGAATTCATAGCAGACAAATTCAAAGAGCTCATATTGAAACGTTAGTAACTGTTTCACACATTCCTAATGAAATGATCTGTGTGATACAATAAAAATGTAAATAAAAAACAAGGTTGCACAACAATCGCTAACGCAATATGCCAGCTGCTGAATTCTGCGTGAGAACATACTATGAATGAGATAATGTTTTATGTAGAATCAAATGAATTCTTCGGAAGTGACATTGTACTTTTGTTTCAGGTGCTATTGGAAGCTGTGAACTCGAACTGATATGAATCATGATCCCCAGCCCGAATGTTGTCACTGCGAGGCATGGAAAGCACGTTTTTCAATCATAAGAACCCCAGCAGTCGCTCACTTTCAGCTCAACTAGTTAGTTTATTTTCGCCGTGGGATCTGAAACATTTCTAGATTTATTTTTGGTTGAAAACATGTGTCAGTGTTGATATCGGAAAGTAATAATAATTATTCAGTGCCAACATCTGATTATCGCTCCGTATCGAGTAGCGGGTTGTAAAATTTTCTGTGAAAATGTAAAAAGAACAAAATGCCATCAAAAAGGCAGTATGACTTGGTGCAAAACGATGACTACGATACAAGAATTCCACTCCATCCCGATGAAGCATTTCATCATGGAATTGTTTTTCAAGCCAAGGTAAGATTTTAAATGCCGCTCGAACATAAAAGTTACTTCATACATTTGAATTCTTTGGAAAATGAACGTCCTTGTCTTTCTGCATCTTGGATAGTACAGTTGATGAGGGTTTTTGAAATATATTTCTTTCAACATTTCGGTTTTGTTAAGTAAAAGGAAGTAGAAGGAAGTAAAAGTTAAAAGTAGAAGGAAGTAAAAGTTAAACAAAAGAAAGAATCCTGATGTCTATGTCCACTTCTGAAGGATAGTTAACTGAAAGAAATAGTAAGATCTTTCACTGATATAATAAAAAAACAACGATACAAAGGTTTGGTGGTCCAAAGAATCCCACAAATTGATGACGTTATACTGAAAACGGTGAACTATGGGGATACTTGGTTCCAAAAATGATAACCTAATGAGTTGACATTCTTTTAAGTCAGTATTTTTTAATCAAACGGTTTTATCCAGTTAGCCCTGTTTGTTTAAGTCAAATTAGGAATTGAAGGGCTCTATGCAAAAAGTCCCTAAGTGAATTTTTCTGGTTTTGAGATACGGAAGATTGAAAGTTTCAATTTTTGATGGAAATAAAGTGGTGAGAGTTTTAAAAATTTCAACTTAAGAATTTGAATAATCCCCTGTCATAGTTTCTCTAAGTTTAGGTTTATCATTTGTAGAGAATATTACAGATCGACATTTTGAAATTTCTGGAATTTATTGTTTTATTTTAGTCGCATAAAACTGTTTATAGTCTCGCACCCTCAACGTTGGGAATTCATCGGAAATATCAGCATTTTTGATAAATAAGCTATGTTCCAAAACAATATTTCAAAAGGATCTTTATTGTTAGGTTTATCTACCTTTACAGTCTCAAGTCTTTTTTTTCTATCATTGCAAAGGATCGGTCTATTGGCATCATTGAATGCCCTGGAATAGGATAATATATCAGGACCTTGTGGAAGAGCTCGTGAAAGATAATCCAAATACGTGAACAAAAATTTGTTTTTATTCTGCGAAAAACAGTTGTCACAATAAATTGACAATATAACTTGTTTATCGGTTTTGTATTTCTTCAGATAGAAATCTAAAGCTGTAATAACTTCATTAGGGCCCTTGGTTGCAAAATTTTCAGAACAAGAACATTGTGACCTGATTTGTCACATTATTTATTCTTATTTTTGGAAGGAGGCCATTTTTCATCGTCGTCTGTTGAAAATGGATATATAAAGACTATGAAAAACAAGGCTACTACATGACAACAACACAATGAAAATAACAAAACACGGACTTTTCTGTATCTGATAACACTTTGGTTCTTTTTGAAAGTTAGGTACTTTTTTAACACTTATCTTTTTTAACACTTATCTTTTTTAACACTTCATCTTGCACGAAACCTCTCCTCGCTTAATAAATGCGACGTAAGAAATGAGGCACTTCGGAACATTTTAGGCAAAAAATAAATAGGGTAATTAAAAGTACATTCAATTCATATCTATATGGTGCTATTAGTTTAAACTCGCAAAAATATTACTTAGGCACTTTTTACATAGTGCCCTTCAATTGCAGTTTGACCCCCTTACTGTTGACAGATTGATTTGATATTTGGTACACACATTTAGTTTTGATGGCAATATAATTTGATAAATTCTGTATTATTTTAAATCCAAGATGGTTGCAGTGACAAAATGGCGGATTACATACTTTCTCTCAACTACCTCAATAAGGGTATTAATTAACAGGGCTTGACTAGTAGAATGGTAGTACACTTTGAAAAAGATGCAAATTCGAGATAGCCGCAGCTACGAAATGGTGGATAAAAATTAGAAACTAAAAACTTGAAAATGAAATGGGTACCTACAAACAAATTTCATCTTAAACAGTTTTATTGAAAAATAAAAGATAATAATGATATAACGTAACCTGAGTAAATATGTTTGCCCAACAATTTCATTATTATTTTATCTGATCAATACCGTAGATTGCTGAGGAGAGTGGTGTGATGACTACTACCTAGAACCATCAGAATCAGTTTTTAGTTTTTAGTACATTATCTAAATCATTATTATCTTTTTTTTTATTAAAACCGTTCAACGTGAAATTTTTTTTTTACTTATTTTATTCAGTTTCTCCTGTCACTTGTCGGTTACCTTTGGCGTTGCTTGAATTCTTCAATCTGGCTGAATGTTAATATCGAATGATATCAACATATATTCACAACAAAAATGGATGATATATTGCTCTTGGATTTCCTGAATATTTTATGAAATTCTAGAATCTGAAAAATGTAAAAATCAGAATCGATGGAGAAATTGTACAAATGTAGTATACTTAAAATAAATTGAATGGTTTCCTGCGAAAATTTGCTAAGTAAAATACACTTTAAATAAAAAAGTCCAATTAGCCAGTACATCTTACATGACAGGCGAACATTTTTTAATACAAGTTACTGAGTATTTGATTTTTTTTTCAAAAGCATAACAGGGCAAACTGAGTTATTCATTTCCTGCCTCTTCGTATTCAAACCATTAAAATTGTGAATTGAATTCAAATTTGCTCAATGAGCAAACACGGTCGAGGTTGATCGTCAAATGTTTTTATGATATTATTGAAGAATTAAAAATAAGCAGAATGAAAAACTGAAACCTAATATTTAACTCTCATTCACCAGCTGATAATTGATAACGTATTTCATTTGTTCACATTGTTCAGAATATGATGCCATCAATGTGCCATTCACATAATTTTTCACATCACATGTATCATTTTCATTGGAATTCATTAATTCATCACGAATACCTGGAATGAATTATGATGTTAAGTGAAAAAGGATATATTCCATTCGAAATCCAGGACACTTTTATGACACATACGGAGGTAATGGATATTCCGTTTTTCCTAGATGAATATAGATATGATTCACGACGACAGTTGAAATGTCTTCATAATTCCGGAAAATCTATTTATCAAATTTTGTTGTGACTTCTCCTGATTTATTAAATGTATTATGCAAATGTATTGCATTTCTGGGTTTCATCTGTTTTGAAACTTCTGATATATTAATATTCATGAATAATTTCCAAATTATGATGAATATGCCATTAAATTAACTCTTCGTTTAACGAATAGTAAGAATTGTGCGCGTTATTGAGTTCATAAATTATATAGCAAATGAAAGTTACCCTTATTATACTTAGGTATCTAACACTTTATTGTGTTACTTTCACAGAACAGTGAAGAGTGAATGTTTCACAATACGTATTTCATTACGTGTTTCACTATACAATAGTATATATATACAACAGAAGACATCCAGATCGTGAACCAATTCACCATACAACTGTTTCCAGGATCAATACGTTATTCAATAGAACGGAAGAGTAAATGAAACACATGTACCGAGACAAAGAGGGAATATAAAGATAGGCGGATACATTTTAGAGTATGTTCAAAGAAACCCGAAAAATAGCTTGCGGCAGATTTCACGAAATATACACGTTAGTATATCTAAAGTACGTACAAGTTTGAAAATAAATAAAGTTATTTGCTTGACGGAACGAAGGTTGGAATTCTGTTTATTCTGCCAAGGTGAATATTTGAATAATAATAAATCTGAGCAATATTCCCTTCACCAATGAGGAGACATTTACCACTAACTTCCACTCGGAATTCCAGGTACTGGGCAAGGGAGAATACACACTGGATGATGAATGCAAAAAGACAAGATTCACAAAAAATCAATGTCCGAGTAGGAATATTCAGAAACCGTATAATAGGTCTAGTGTTTTTTGAAAACATACTAAACAGTGGAGAATTTGATAATTTTTTGACAACGACTCTCTTGGATTTCATGGAAGAACTATACATTGAAGAACGCAGAAATGTTATATTTCAGCAAGGCGGTGCCTCCATTCGCAATGTGATTGCTGTGCGGCAACATCTTGTTGAAAAAGATAGATTGGAAGGAACAACTCTTTTACTTGTTGGCCCCCTCGATCACCAAACCTAACTCCATCAAATTGGCATAATGTGGCAAAAGTGTGGTGAAATAACACCAGGCCAATTGAGGAAGACTTGCCTGAATTTGAGATGACGTTATGAAAAATATATAGCGCTTGAAGGAGGATATACTATCAAGTATAAAACTCAGTGTTTTATTAATTTCATTTAAGTGATCATGAATTACCATAAAGTAAACAAGTCATCAATCACACATAATAGAATGGTAACTTAATCTTTTCGGTAAAATTCATAGAATTTCATACAAGATCAGTAAAAAAATCATGGATTTGTAAATTTGTCATAGTATAATAATTGGGCAGAAATTTGGAATCTAGATGTTTGAAATCGAATGGGGTATCCACTTTTCCGATAAAAAATGCCTAATGGTCCTTATCGACATTTCGACCAATTTTGCAGATCATAGTAAGCCTTGAAAATGAGAATAATTCATATCTGTTAACATTTTTGGATAGAGTTCGTCGAGTAGCATAATTTGAAATTGTCATTTTTCATAATCGGTTCATGAGTTCCAAAATAACAGGATGTTGCGGTTTGAAATCGCACACACTGTATAAGTTTTTGTCACATTTGAAGTGAATTCAGTATTAGTTCATTATGTATATTGAAAGGCATACAATGAGTGAAAGTGGTTAGTAGTTTTTGACAACAGATAATGTGATTTTTTTCCATGAAGTTAAGTTCAACTATCACTATATCTGTTTTCAGATACGAAATGAACTCAATTTTGGCAAACTCCTCTATTCTCAACTTTGTACTTCAGCAATAAATCATAGTGATATTCTTCACATGACTTTATGTCCGTTTTTAATAGTACTGGAGTTGTATCTCAACACTTGAAACACGTGTTGAGGTGTTAAAAATAACGGTTTGGTGTTGGGATAGAAATCCAGTAATATTCATTATTACACCAAAGTTTCCGAACAGTGCATCACGAGTGAATAAATTTTTGTTAAGAGCAAAATCTTATGCCTCATAGTTTTAGTTTCTGAAAATTATAATGA